TTTCCCACACAGATTTAAATGGCCAGTGAATGTTTTTTGTTCCATTTTAGTGCCTTGTGCTTAGTTGCTCACTGTTCAGGGCACTCAGCTCAGTGTTGCTGGGGCTTTGTAACAGCCAAAACTGTTAAAATGTTCCTTTAAGAGACTGTGTTTATGAGAGAAATGTCATCAGACAGCGCCTAACCTGTCTTGAGTTAGTTGAGCGGTACACCTGCTGTGAATGGATGCCTGTTACTGAGCTCCTGTTTTTCTTTAGCCTCTGAACTCAACCGTAATGTTTAGATTACATGTTTTGTTCATGTATGATGAAATAGTAGCCGTACAACCTGGCTTGATGAGGTTGATGTTTCAGTAATAAACGACGAGTATTGTGGAAAGCATGGCTGTGAGTTTGTGACTGTCATGTTTTTCCACTCTCTTCAACCTTAGCTCAACCAAGAATGATTTGTCCTACCTCAGATAGCTCCAAGGAGCTGCTTCAAAACTGCTGAATACAGTCTTGTTTGGAAGGCTCAGCACACAGCTGATGAAATAAATTGGTGTGGATAGTCAGTCGCTGCATAGCCTTTACGTGTTTGTCCACATTAGAACCTTGCTCTCTGTCTATGGTCTCTGTTCATCAGCTAAATAATTATTAAGATACTAACAAGACTATTATAGCATCAGCATAAAAATAAAAACTGCTTTCTTTTCATTATCAGAAGATTCTGGCATGTTTTGTTTCCCAGTGAAATCTCACTCATCTGACACTAAACTGATCATAAACATACCTGATCTTCTTGAAAAATAGATTCATATGCTGTAAGTACTTATTTGATTCCATTCTGGTTCATTCAACTACATGCCTAACTATAATATGACGCGATTCTCCCTGAACTGTAAATGTTGTCACATATAATGTAATTTGCAATTATGTTTTACTACATTGTATCATGTGTTGCATATAAACTAAGGAGGAAAGCACTACGTAATTTTTGTGACATTATAGGACTATTAATGACCATGATTTTCAGAGTAGAGTATATTTGATTTCCTGATATCCTTTGATCAATTTCTTTCAGTTAACGATTTGTCTTTTAAAAGTGGAAACGCTGAACAGTTTTTATGAATCACATGTGTATACGAACACGTTAAAAAAGCCAGCTCTGAGGCATTAAAACCCCCTTGAATGTGGTTACTCATTTCAGATGAAGAGTGAAGGAAGAAAAGATCCCTTTATGGTGGGAATTCCATTCAGCTGCGACTTTTCTCTCTTTATACCAAGGAAGGGCATTTGAGAAGGGTGTGTGTATTTTTAAAGGGCGATCACTGACCACACACTTCTCTGCTGGCGTTGGTGGGCCCAGCTGAGGGTAAAAATCTCTCTAGCCTGCACTATTGTAGACCCAGTAGTAGCGCTACCTCCTACTGCTCTTCACTGTAAGGTGGGAGACAATGATGAAACACCAGGAAAAGGGTTAATACATGTGCATTTTAAAAGCCCAAATGTTTTAATTCTGCATTTATTTGCATTAATGCTTGCTGACAAGCAGTGTAGCATTGAATGGGCAGATTTCAGCATGGATTTTGATGTTCTCTCTTAATAAAGATGACAGATAGAATGAGGCTACGTCCGATCCAGTGCAGTGTTGAGGTCTGAGCCACAGTCTTCCCCTCTGACTGGCACGTTTCCCAGCACCCAGGCCCAAACTCATCAGACAACATCCTAGGCCACTCCTCACTTCTCTCCTCTGACAGCTGCATCTGTTTTATACATTCCTTGCTACAGTGGACAGGCAGACTTGTTAAAAGGGGGATGAGTGCACTGATATACAGCCTGCCTGTCAAAGGCTGGTGGAGATACCTTAATCCACGACGAGCCCCAGCTGCACACTCATAGGATGTTCCCCACCATTACCCACTGCAGATGGTTATGGATTTATGTCAGCAGAGCCTGTCTTCAGTTATTGCACATATACAGTAACAGTTATGATGGGTATTGCCCGAAGACAGCCGAAGACAGATGCTGTCTTTACAATTAGTACTTGAGATATCATTCTGGAGTTAACTTACACTATCCTGGATTCATTTCTGAATGTGTGACTTTTTTTAGGTTGGTCAGTCAGTCCACCACTTTGACAATGAAATATCTCAACACCTTTCAGATGGATTGCCCTGAAATTTGTTACAGGCATTCATGTTCCGCTCAGGATGAATTAAAACTACTTTGGTGGTCTGCTGACTTTACATCTAGCAACATCATCAAGTCAGAATTTAAATGTAATACTTTGGCTTATGAACAAATACCTGCAAAACTAATGACATTCCTGTCAGCCTCAGCTGCACTGTGTGTAGCGCATGTTAACATGCTAACACACTAAACTATGATGGTGAACATCGTAAACGATATACCTGCCTCTCACCAACTGTTCCTCGCTGTTTGAGGAAGTAAAGAAAATCGTAAACTGAGTTTTTTTTATTGATTGATGTGCTAAATGCGGTGCAGCAGCTTTTAGAAATGGTGCCAGTAGACATTTTTACAGTGCTTGTTTCACCCAAAAAAGTGACAAATGCCTGCTCTCATCTATTAGCATTTAGATCAAAGCACCGCGGTGCCTAAATTCAGCTTCTCAGAGACGCTTGCATGGCTGTAGACTCTGAGACTTGTTAAATTAAACTTTGACAGTTTGTCTAAAAATGTTACACAACAGAATTCTGAAGTTAGTTTTTGAAACACTTGCAAGTGATTCCTCTTGTAACAGCGAGGGTGCATTTTAAAATGAAGCCTTACAATATATTAGTCTGCAACATGAAGGAAAGACATAATTTAACAAAAATATAGATGTTCATGCAATGCTCAGTTAGTCCTGGAATAGAGATACTATTTCTTTTAGCTCCCCCCACAGGGAGTCACAGGTCAGGTTCAGCTATATGGAGCTAGTATAATATCCTGCCTAATGACACTCATTAGGACACTTGTCACTGTCAAGAGGGCTTGAATATGAGAATTCCAGTTGGAGGACAGCTAAGACAAATGGTGGCTGAGGAGTTAAGATGTGAAGGAGATGACAGATTGATGTTTTAGTTTAGCCTAAACTTCCTGGATCTTGATGGGCCCTGCTGTCCCCCCTACTGACTCTCACTGGCCCACGTCAGCCCTTAGTGGCTCTGTGTGACCAGTAGGCTTGAGAGCTCCGGGTTCGGGGGTCAGACACTTGTTCTGCACCATCACACCTCTGCTGGGTTCTGCTACAGCTCATTAAGTCTTTCTTTAGGGGACAGGGGAGTGTTTAACCTTGGAAGTGGGGCCTCTTTCAAGCTCTGAAAAAGCAAAATGTCTGCATTTGTGTTTCCAACAAACTGGTGGTTCCTCTGTTCATATCCTGTCTTTTCATTTCATTTTCCTCTGGATAGAATGGTCACATTCTCTCCTCACTTGACTCCTGCCTTGCCTCGCTCTTAGTCCTGTTTGCTCATATACAAAAAATGTGAACTGGTTTGAATGAATGTTTATGTGAG